AAGATCTACAACTTTCCTTTTGACTCAATCGGCTAATTCTCAACCTATTTTAAATTTAACAGTATGAGAAGATTATACTGTTAGATGACTGCGTAAAATTCATAACTTATTCATACGAACTCCGTTTTCGTCTGTCTTTTTACCGTTGCGCTACTAATAATGAGATCTTAAATTCTCATTTTGGTTGCGTTGGCCAAAAACCGCTTGATCTAAGATTCGAATTTCGGGTTGTGCACTGCTAGGCCAAATCTTAGAAAATTCATAACTTCCTCATACGAAGTCAGATTTGGACGTTCTTTTTATGGATGTTCTCGGTTTAACATATTCTACGAATTTTGTTTAGATTACTAAGGCCAAAAAGTCTTCTATTGTAAATTCACTATTTACGCTTCTCGGTGCCGTGCCGGTTCCGTCGCGAAACTTCGACGGGTCATAACTTCTTCGTTATAACTCAGATTTCGGCGTTCTTCATATCCATGGAATCCTTGTTTCGACCATTACAACTTTATATAAAGATATCGGGCTTATCTCACACTTTAATTTTGACGCTTATTTTTATCATTTATTTATTATACATTTATAAATAAGTAATAAGCACATAAATGCACATAATTCACATAATACTCAAATAATTCATCTTTATTACTTCAAAAAGAGTTACAATAGTTGACCTAGACTATTACATCATCTACTAATGCTTAGCCCCGAAACATGGGCGTTACAAATATGCTTATGAACTCACCAACATTATAAATGTCGACCATTTTCAAAATAACTTGTATTCTCAGGAAATCGTTAAACAGGTTGGCCTTCAAGAACTCATGGATTTTGATGTATTTTTGCTATCATCGTACACTTATAATTTGGGAATGTAATCTTGTAAACCAAAACACTGATGTAAACAATGACTGTTGTATTATTTATGTGTGATGATGATGTTGTCTTGATTCAATTATATACACTGTGATGGTATTACAAGATGAAGTCACCCTAACCCCCGGACGTTTCTGCCGTTTCTTCGGTTCGGGGGTGTGACATGTTATCTGCTAGACTGCGAGGTGAGTTTTCTCACTATACTTTGTACTACAATATGTGTCCTTGTGTGTAGGGTGTTGGTATGTTGTAGTGATATGTTGGATTGGTAGATCTGTTATGGTTACATGTATTGTTGGCTATTGTTTGTTTGTTTGTTTGCATATGTCGACATATTATGGTAGGGTTGAGATGGTCCTGCTTTGTGTTGTAGGCTAAGATATCCGGGCGGTCTAATGCATTGTAGGCCTAGCGAGGCGGTCCAGTTAGACTATATGCCTAAGGGAGTGGTCCAACTGCTATATGCCTTACGAGGCGATCCAGTAGACTATAGGCTCAGTAGAGAGGTCCAAGCATCTTGTAGGCCTCGCGAGGCGGTCCAGGCAGAACGAAGGCTCATGTGTGCATGCATTATATGTGTATTGTTGTGTGGGGTATTTTGGGAAAACTCACTAAGCTTTGGCTTACAGTTGTGGATTTAAATGTTTTAGGTACTTCAGATGATCGGGGCAAGGCGAATGCGTGATCGTACACATCCTCCTACTGATTTATGTTTAAGAGATGATATTGATACTTTGATTTTTATGGCTTTGTTTGAAAAAATGGTTGATTACTTTATGGGTTATATGAAAATGTCCTTTGAAAAACAAAAAAATTACTTTTTTTTTTGGGATGTTATAATGTTGATGAAGAGGAAGAGGAAGAACAAGAAAGATCCATGGCAAAATCAACACATGAGAAGGTTCTTGCAAACATAAAAACTTTACATATGTATCCGTATGGAGAGTCTTTGCTAAAAGTTGTGGAATATCATCAGGTTCTTATAAATGTTTGATTGTAGTTTGATTTTTGGAGGCTTTGGATTTGATTTTTCCAAATACGATTCATGAGATGAACGGTTTGATTGTGCTACAATTTGTGAGGTTTTGTTGAATGGTTTAAGGTTTTTATTGATTTTGTGGATTTAGACATTTACAGATGGTTTCATCTTGGTGGGTGGGAATGATAATCGACATGGAGAGGTGGTGGAAGTTGGCGGTGGAAATTGAATGTAGGGTTTTTTTGTTAAAATTTCAACTTCTTTTATTGTTATAGAGTTTAATAGTGTTGGGCGTTAGTGGTGAAAGAAGGGAGAGGAAAAACGGTAAGGAGGGGTGGGTGGTGGTAGTGTTGAATAATGGCGGTGAACGATGGTGGTAATGGTGGTTTACTGTGGTGGTAATAGTGATAGGCCTTTTTCTATTTAAATAATTATATAATAATTAATATAAATTCTAATTAACCAAAAAGAAAAGATAAAAGAAATTAAAAAGGGTAAATAAGTCTTTTTATGTGGGTGAGAGACCAACCACAATAGAAATTGAAACCACGAGGATCTTCCATGAGATCGAAAAAAATTATTTAAACTTGATATTTTAAAAAGCCATAGGGACCATTTATGTAGAAACTTATGGATTAGCATATGTATCAATAAAATATTGAGCATCCGAATCGAATTGGTTGCTTTGGAACCAAAATTGATTTAGTGTAAAAATCAATGTTCTAAAAAGCTCCCCACGGCTCCGTCATGGCTCCAAGGCTTGTATTTGCCGCCAAACTTTGACAAAATGTCGCCTTAAGTTATATATGTATATAAAAATGAATAATAGTACAAAATACATATAAAATTATTAATTATATACAAAATTACCGTCTTAAGTCACGCTTTACAAACGACATGGCTCGCCACGACTCAAAAAAGTTTGAGGCTTGACATTGCCGCTAAGTCACGCCTTACGTTATTTAGAACATTGGTAAAAAATTGGTAAAAAAGGTAGACCGAAAACCAAATCGGTAAGTGATGCATGTTTTTTGCCATTTGCCATTCAATCCGATGGTCTGGGCATCAGTAAGCATACACCGATGCCGGTACAACATGTAATGCAGAAGGTACTCAACCATGTCATATTTTTAAGAGGAGTTTGTCATAAAGCATTTCCAAAACTCAACCTGCAACTTTCAAACCAATCCACCTTCAACAATGTGAAAGAAAACAATTATTGATTATTTCAGCACTAGCTAAAGATCGATGCAAAAAAGTAGGAAAAAAAAAAGAATGGAGTGAGAAAGGCTCAGCCATGTCATATTTTTAAGAGAGGTTAATCATAAAGCATTTCAAAAAAAAAAGAATGGAGTTAGACTGGCTCAGCCATGTCATATTTTTAAGATGAGTTAATCATAAAGCATTTCAAAACTCAACCTGCACATTTCAAACCCATGCATCTTCAACAATGTACTTTCAAACCCTGCATCTTTAACAATGTGAAAGAAAACGATTATTGATTATTTCCGTACTAGCCTACTAGGTGAATCTCCGTACAAAAAAATAGAAGAGCCGTAGGAAAAAAAAAGGAATGGGGTGAGAGAGGCTCGAACTCTCGACCTCAGGATAACTCAGATATAGCTATGAGACCTACGCGCTAGCCAACTGCGCCACCACCCCGATATGTTACAATTGCCTCCAAGATCTTTGACATTCTGAAAAAGTGTATCACAATGTACATCAAAATAAAAAACAGAACATAGTAAAACTCAAATCAAGTACATAATAAAGAATTTTTTAGTTTCCACTTCAAAAACGGTATTGGTTTCCCGTAGATTCCTTTGGGGATAATGACTTGATAGGGTAAGATACTTTTTGAAATGTACACATTTAGTCCTTATTCTTTTTTTTTGTAAAATAAACCCTTATACTTTATTAATATGTACACATTAGGTCCTTTTCACCGGATTCTACAGGTTTGCTGACGTAGAAGGGTTTATTTTACAAAAAAAAAGAATAAGGACTAAATGTGTACATTTCAAAAAGTATCTTACCCTATCAAGTCATTTTCCCTTTCTTTTATTTTGTTGAAATGAAATACCCAGGTGGCATCCACATATCCACAACGAGATTTTTCCAACTTTTATTCATCATGAAAAAGAGGGAGAACCCCGATCTCCGGCGACTCCTTTGTGTGTTCCTACACATCACTGGTAGCAAGGAGGAATGATGGCAAAAACAACAAGGTCGAAGGGGGAGGAAGGAGGAAGTAGAGACGGTAGTTGGCGGCGAGGAGCTGCTCTGGTAGCCCCCTCGTCGATTCTTTCTTCTTTTTTTGGCAACATATCTCAAAGATGGAGGCAAAGAGAGACAGATCGGAGAAACACAATAGGTAAAGGGTGTTTGGCTGTTGCTGTTCGACCGGAAGGAAGAGAGACGAGAAAGAGAAGGGTCGTCGCCCTTTTCTTGTTGCTGGAGGATCACCCACCTCCGGTGACTAAGCTAATTAATTGCTATTTAGTGCCACTTGTGCTTCCACATCAGCAAAACCTGTAGAATCCGGTGAAAATGACCTAATGTGTACATATTAATAAAGTATAAGGGTTATTTTACAAAAAAAAAAGAATAAGGTCTAAATGTGTACAATTCAAAAAGTATCTTACCATATCAAGTCATTTTCCCTAAAAGAAAATTCGTATATGACCGGTATACCGGGTATAGCCGGTCACAAGGATTGCATTGTTACAAAAAATAAATTATAAGGGTTTATTTTACCAAAAAAAAAAATAAAAACTAAATATGTACATTTCAAAAAGTATCTTACTCATTATCCAATTCCTTTGTCAACAACAATTTACTCTTATGATTTCGTAAGTGTAAAAGGACACTTATTTATAATTTATATGGTACATACTAGTAATATACCCCCAAAACCTGTTTTACTCGCCATCAAGATTGTTGAACAATGATTCGTTTTTTACTTTGAAATTCACTTCTTCCAAGAATAAATCATCTATCAAGACTCTAAAAATTAAAAGTACCTATTTATTTACCCTTCTTTTTCAAAAAATTTACTCTCTTTTCTCAATTTGTCACTTCCAATCACACAAATATATAACATCCTCAGTTCTACTCTATCTATTATTTTTTTCTGAAAATCAAAATTTGTCAAACGATCATCATAATCTCATCCAAAAGTGCCTCCTACAACCTGTTTTACAACTAATTATCATATTCTTTCTGATCACATTCATCATCACAAAAAACACCTAAGCATCAACAATTATTCATAAGTCAAAAATCATTTGCAGCAAAAATCTCTAAAAATGGAGTGGATCATTATATCGAACCACAAACCAAACCAAATAAAATGGAGCTATTCATCACCACGTCCATTATTTATTAGCCCTTAAACATGCTTCCTCCACCAATTGAGCTGCAACTCCAACATAATTGTGAGGGGTTAACTTTAAAAGCTCTGTTTTTGCTTCAACTGGTATTTCCAACCCATTTATAAATTCTGTAATCCTCTCTTTATCAACTGCTCTTCCTCTTGTAAGTTCCTTCAGTTTCTCATATGGCTCCTCAACACCATATCTTCTCATCACCTACACACACATCATTAAAAATAACAAAAACCTCATTTGAATTAAGCCAGACAGATAGATAGATAAGATACATACTGTCTGTATTGGTTCAGCAAGCACCTCCCATGAGTTGTCCAGGTCCTTGTTTAAGGTTGCTTCATTCACCTATCAAACACAACCATTAAACAACCTTTTTTTTTTCATAAATTCCATTAAACTTTTTATTAACCTGAAGCTTTCCGATTCCCACTATTGCACTTTTGTAAGCAAGAAGTGAATAACCAAACCCCACACCAATGTTTCTCAGAACAGTAGAATCAGTAAGGTCACGCTGCCAACGGGAAACAGGCAGCTTCATGCTTAAATGGTCTAAAATTGCATTTCCTATTCCAAGATTGCCCTCACTGTTTTCAAAGTTTATGGGGTTCACTTTGTGAGGCATAGTGGATGACCCTATTTCACCAGCCTTAGTCACCTGCTTGAAGTAGCCCACAGAGATATACCCCCACATGTCTTTATCAAAATCAAGCAAGATGTTATTAAACCGGATAAATGACTGGAATAATTTCGCCATGTAGTCATGAGATTCAATCTGCATTGTTCCAGATAGATATATATATATATATATATATATATATATATATATATATATATATAGTTGTTTTCTTTTTTATAACTAAAAGACTAATAAGGAAGGAAGGAATAAAGCATGCATACCTGTGTTACATGTGGATTAAAGCTTAATCCAAGAGAGTTTACAAATTGCTCAGCTATTCGTGGCCAATTTACATCAGGATATGCCACAACATGTGCATTATAGTTCCCAACTGCACCTGCAAACTTTCCCAATATTTCTACTCTACAAATATCTTCTCTTTCTCTCCTTAATCTTTCACCAAATATCACCATTTCCTTTCCCAGTGTTGTAGGTGAAGCTGGCTACAGTAGTACAAAATAATTATTTTTATAAAGAAAAAAACACAGATTCCATTTCCACAGTTAAAAAAGGAAGATTTTTACAAACCTGTCCATGAGTCCGGGAAAGCATTGGAATGTAAGCATAGGTTTTTGCCATGGTGTATATTGCATTGATTAAGTCATCCATGATAGGAAGAATGACTGTTGAAACTGATTCTTTTAGCATCAGTCCATGAGCAAGGTTGTTTATGTCTTCGGATGTACACCCAAAATGAAAAAACTCAAGCATCTTAGCAATCTCTGGATCTTCTTCACACTTTGTTTTCAGAAAATACTCGACTGCTTTCACATCATGATTAGTTATTTTCTCAATATTCTTGACTTGCATTGCATCAGCATCACTGAACCCATCAATCAGTCCTTGCAGTTTCGTTTGAGCTTCATTGCTAAAGCTTGGAACCTCAGATACTTGAGGAATCTGTGAGAGCTTTAGCAGCCACTTCACCTGAGGGTTTCAAGGTACAAAAATAATAAACACAACATAGAGAAGAAAAACAAATGGATGATGAAATAAGCATAATAAACATTGTACCTCAACCAGGGTGCGATAGTAGATAAGGCCATATTCACTCAAATAAGGGGCTAAATCCTTCACAGAATTCCGATAACGCCCATCCAAAGGACTTATGGCAGTTAAACTTGAGAGCTCCATCTCAGAAAGCTTCACATTTACCTGAAAATCATATGTAATCTTTCAGGCAACATAGTCTTACATGGAAAGAGAACAAGAAAAAGGTTCAGCAAAAGCAAATACAGACTAATAATTCGGTCAACATAGATATGATAATAAATAAAGTAATAGGAAAAGGCCTTACCTTTTCTACAGCTTCAATGTTGTTATTGGCTTCCTTCAAAGTTGCTTTGCATGTGGATTTTTTGCGAGGAAGTGTCACAAAAGATGAAGCACTTGAAGTACGGTTTTGAGTTGGAATAGATTGTTCATGGAGGTAACTTGCACGAGTTAAGTATGATGTTGGATAGCTGCCATTTTGAACTCTAATACAAGATCCGATTTCCATGAATACGTAAAAGAGCTTCAACAGAAATGATGTCTAATCAGAATGATATCTAATACAACAGAAATCCTTAACTTTTTCCTGTGTAAAATGCATACATGATACACGTGCAAATTGCGGAAATAAATTCATAAACAACGCGACTTAACCAAGCCATAACCCACAAAACAATTCACATAGCTTCTATTTATATATATCAATTAATCAATTTATATATCATTAACGAATCTATGAGTTCATCAAAATTTCAGACTTGCATGCAAATTCAAAGTGTAATTCGTTGTATTAAATTGGGAGAATACCAATGACATAAAAATCGGTAATTTTGAATAGAGCAGCAGATTGTCAAATAGAAACGTAATAGCAGGCTACACATAATAAGTAAGAAAAACAACTAAAACCCCATAAAATTTACTATAAACCCTAAAGAAGACTTCAATATGTTCCGAAATTAGTCAAAACTTGAACGAGTGTGTAAACGAAGAGTTCAATAGAGAGCAAGGAAGAACACTCACGATGGAGTTAAAGGAAGGGGAAGCGGAGGAGAAGACCAAGGAAGAGAAATCACGATCGGGCCCGGCGGCTTAAAGGTGGCGAGAGAGAAATCAGCACTATGAAAGTACACTTGACGATGGCGTATGTTGAGGAGGCGTTCTTGTGTCGCTTGACTGCTTGTGTTCTTGAGGAAGACGATGGTCGACTGTAGATAGTTGCTGTGTGCGAAGACTGAAAAGCCCAAGCTTTAGACTCTTGGTGGAATAATTGTCTATTTGGGCCAACTGGGCCTTCACTTTAAAAAAAAAATCAGCCCAGTTTATATTACGAAAACAACTGTCGATGAAAATTCATTGCAGGGTCTCCTCTCACGAGCATTGAATCTCGAGAGCCACATAAATCTTTAGACGATGGGTGATAAACCTCACCCCCATACTCTTCAATCAACCCCATATCTATCTATTCAATCATTGCCAGGTGTCATCTCCATCGTTGCCTGCTTATCTGCTGAAAGAACTCTTTCTTCAAAAAACACAACCAAACTCAATAACACTCTCCTTCTCCTTCTGCTTCAGCTTCGAAGCTTAGAAAACCAGATAAAAAATGGAGACTGGGGTAGCATGCTTTGCACGTGCGACAATCTTGCCAAGTGTTGCTTCTCAACATACAACCAGCTCATTTGCCTCTCCACGCACTATTTCCCCATCTTTCACCACCAGGGTATGCTTCACTTCCATTCCTTTTTGTTTCTTTTGCTTCAACGTTTGAATTGCCTCCAAATTATGCGTTTAGTACTTTCGTTTCGTATGTAAAATGCTTCACAGATAAGGTATTTTACACAGGCATAATTACAGTTATCCCTTTTTGCAGAGTTTAAAATCAAGCTCGTTATTCGGAGAGGCCTTGAGGGTGATGCCAAGATCGTCACTCAAGGTTTCAAAGTCACAAAATTCCTCAATCGTAACCAAATGTGAAATCGGTGAAAGTCTGGTGAGTTTATCGATCGTTCGTACTAAAAAGCCTGTAATGCGTTGGAATTCATTCTTGTTTGATCTTAATCTGATATTGGTATTGTAAACTTTTTGTAGGAAGATTTCCTATCAAAAGCAACACCAGACAAGGGTTTGATCAGATTGCTGACGTGTATGGGCGAAGCTATTAGGACCATTGCGTTTAAAGTCCGGACCGCTTCTTGTGGTGGCACAGCCTGTGTTAACTCCTTCGGTGATGAACAGCTTGCCGTCGATATGCTTGCCGACAAGCTCTTGTTTGATGTATATTTTCATATAATTGATTATAACTTCAGGGGAAAATTTTATTTAATTTACTGAGAAATTTTAAGCGTTTTGAATTTGGGTTGTAGGCATTGACTCACTCGCATTTCTGCAAATATGCTTGCTCCGAAGAAGTTCCCGAGCTTCAAGACATGGGTGGTCCAGTCGAAGGTCAAAATCTTACAGATATTCATTCGTCATTTTATATCAAAAAAATCACTACGATTTATAATTTGATCTTAATTATGAAATGAAAACAGGCGGGTTCAGTGTCGCGTTTGATCCCCTTGACGGATCCAGCATTGTGGACACCAACTTCACCGTCGGCACCATCTTTGGCGTGTGGCCGGGAGATAAACTAACCGGGGTCACCGGAGGAGACCAAGTGGCTGCCGCCATGGGGATTTATGGACCTCGAACCACTTATGTTATTGCCATCAAGGGTTTCCCTGGAACCCATGAGTTTCTTCTTCTTGACGAAGGTAAATAAAATGATAATTCTACTGTTCCTACTTACTACTGTATAATCAATCATTTAAATTTTAAAATAACCAATTTGGATTCTCAGGGAAATGGCAGCATGTGAAAGAAACCACAGAAATTTCAGAAGGGAAGATGTTTTCCCCTGGAAATCTGAGAGCCACTTTTGACAATCCCGATTACGACAAGGTCTTAATTAAACCTTCAAAGATTCGATCAAAATATAATGAAATTGTCAATTTTTAGCATTGTTTCTAAAAAGATTCGATCATTGAATGCAGCTGATCAACTACTACGTAAAAGAGAAGTACACTTTAAGATACACCGGTGGAATGGTGCCCGATGTTAACCAGGTGGGTAGATAATATTTCTTCATTTCTTGATGATAAGGATAAACGATAAAGAGGGAGGGCATTTACTTTTTGTGACCTTCATTCTAATGTTGATTTGTTTGCAGATAATTGTGAAAGAAAAGGGTGTATTTACGAATGTGATATCACCAACAACAAAAGCGAAGCTAAGGCTTCTCTTTGAGGTGGCTCCTTTGGGGCTATTGATCGAGAATGCAGGAGGTTATAGCAGTGATGGGACACAGTCTGTGTTAGATAAGGTGATTGTGAATCTTGATGATCGGACTCAAGTAGCTTACGGGTCTCTAAATGAGATCATAAGGTTTGAAGAGACACTATACGGGTCATCTAGGCTCAAGTCTGGTGTGCCTGTCGGAGCTTCCGCTTAAAACTCCATCTTTGTTTTGTAAACATGTATTATTGTTACGATCTCTCAATGAATTTTTCCAATCATATATAAATTTATATTCAATGTCAAAAACTATATTCAGAGAACATTTTCAAATTTTGAGCTTATTAGTTATGATTTACTCACGACATAACAGTGTGTAAAATAATTTATCTAAAGCTAAGTATTGTTAAAACTATTAATGAGTCGAATGGAAAAACAGTTGGGAATAAATTTGAAAAAATAAAATCGCGCCAGGTAGGGGTCGAACCTACGACTTTCTGCTTAGGAAACAGACGCTCTATCACTGAGCTACAGGCGCTTCTTGTTTTGTTATTCTACAATAATCTATAACAAAACAGACTTCAAATCAATTCTCACCACAGAATCATATTACAATGTAAATAAAATTTTATCGAGTATCATTCCTTTACAATAAATATCTGTGATAAACCTAATAAATAGTTTTCCCACATCTTTAATAAATTCTCCTTGGAGCCCAGACGTTGGTGATAGTGGGAATAAATGACGTATGAATCATACGTATTTTTGATGATTTATGTACTGATTTGTCACCAACCCTTTTTGAAGTAGTATGAAGGAAATTAATGATGACCAAAAGAAGTGTAAATGCACCTTTGGTACTAGTTGTAGTAGTAGTTCCTCTTTCCACTTGACTCCTTTCTTTTTTCCTTTTGCCTTTCACTAATTTCCCTCAAATAATTGCTCATGGGCTCAATTGCTTGATTTTTCATACCCACTTACAATTTACATACAACTTTAAAGTCCAATCTTTGTCTCACAATGTTCTTTTGACCTTTCCAAAGAAGTGGGTTTCGTCATTTAGGTGTCGCTACACTAAATACCTCATGTTTCATACATTTATAGAAATGTTATAAATTGAATAAGACACCATGGTCCACCTTTCTGTTTCAGTTTGATTCTTTTTATACGCATATACATTAAATCGGTGTACTAATAACTAACCCTTCGTTTCCTATCTTTGTCTTGCATTGCCCTTTCGATCTTCTAAAGAAGTGTGTTTCATCATTTTGTTGTCCGTATACTAAATGCTTTTATATATTTATAGATTTATTGTTAATGTTTCAATTCAGGCCCGCCTTCAATTCCAATTCGATTCTTTTTCTACTGAGAGACACTAAGTTATTTTTATTCATTTATTTATTTATTTATATATCTTTACTTAATTTAATTCACATGTAACGAAATCCAATTTATGAGGATAATCCTTCAATAAACAACTTCCTATCAAGGCATTTATTAAAAACCATGAACCAGGAATTTATATAGAATTTGGATTCTTCCGATTACCATGCTAAGGGCGTTGCCCCTAGGACCCCGCAAGGGGAACAACCTCCTTGACCCCTGTCATTTGGTTAAACCGAGATCAAACTCATTTTATATGAGTATCACTCCACACCTCCTAACTTGCATCGAACTGTATAATAATTTGTAAAAAATATAATAAAATAACATGATGACACTAAAATCACCAACAATCAAGAAAATAAGACTTTATTTATTAAATCTTTTTTCCCAAGAGTATCGTCATTTAAAGGTGGAAATAATTTTTTTTTTGGAAAGAGAACTTCCCTAACGAGAGTTTTTGGGCAGCTTTCGCGCACCGACTAATCCCCCGCTGCAAACATGAGGCTTTGTCTCATGCCCTAGAGTCACTGCATGCGAACCTCCATGGCCACAAGGGCTAAGTAGTGCCAGGATTTGAACATGGGTCAATAGTTTATTCATCATATCTTCCATATGACTTACCAAGTCACCATAACCCAAATGGTTGGAAATATTTAACATCTTTTACCAGGATATCACTTGATTAAAAAAAAGTGTCTTGAGTATATACTAGATACTAACCTTTGTTTCCAAGCATCAATTTGTTATAAAAAAAACATTGGTTGTTTAACAACAAAATTTTAAGTAACAAATTGAGTATCGAAGTATCACGTGTTATCTATAATGAATATAAATAAATATATAAAAAATACACATATTTGAATCATGAGTGCATGGGAAAAAGGGTACTACCATTACAAAAAATGAAAATTATTTGCCACTAGTTCACAAAAGAAGTTTTAGAATTTTCTTTCTCCTGTAAAGGCTTTTGTAGGAGCAATAATTATACAAGAAATGAAAAGGCAAAGGGATCATTGTCATGCCAAATCTTGCTAACTTTTGAATGCAATCATAAAAGATGCTTGATTTTTTTTAAAGTAAATCCCTCAAGAGTAGAGCAGCCACAGTAAAATACTTCAAAAAATCACACAAACCACCACAAAACTTTGTATATAAGTAGCAGAGAATCAGACTACCTTTGACAACTAGCTATCCACCTTATTCAATCACTCTGCGTTCATCCACAATAAGGATTCATAAAAAAAACCAGTCTTGATTCCTCTACAAGAGGTAAAGCTCTCTACCCGGTATTACTATAATTGTATGAAGTTTTGGTTTTTTACTCATGTAGCTTAAGTGGGTATTTGATTATTTTTGAATTTTTCCGTGTTTGAATCATATGATTTGACAGCGTTTTTAATCATTGTTATTTTGTTACATCTTTTTCAAGTTCTTGTTGATTCTTGAATTGATGGGTCACTTAACTTTCAAGATTCCTAAATATGTTCTACTGAATATAGAAAAAGTATTCTGATAATTTGATTCTAAACTTTTCTTCTACGCATTTGTATGGTTTTTCTCCATCTAAAGCTAATAGCTATGGAAACATCAAATCGATTGATGATGCAAGAGAGCAAGAGCTCAAAATGGACAAGAGAACAGAACAAATGGTTCGAAAGTGCTTTGGCTATATTCGATACAGAAACGCCAGACCGATGGTCAAATGTTGCAGCTTTAGTCCCCGGAAAATCAGAGTTCGAAGTGAGACAACAGTACGAGGAATTGAAAGCCGATATCAATAATATCGAAGCCGGTTTGGTTCCCGATCCCGGCTACTTCACCTTCAAATCAGAATTACTCCAAGATCGCAGATTCAATTCTTTCGGGAGTCGACTTTTCAGGTCTAGATCATTAGATCACGAAAGGAGAAAAGGCATTCCATGGACAGAAGATGAACACAGGTGAACACGATCTACGAACTCATACCTTCTAGTTTTTTACGGATATATACGACCATATAATAGTTTAAATTCTGGTGCAATAATGTCGTAATAACTCGTACGTGATTTGTTACAGGAGATTCTTGATGGGACTTCAAGTTCATGGCAAAGGTGATTGGCGAAATATTTCTCGTAACTTTGTGGTGACAAAAACACCAACACAAGTAGCGAGTCATGCACAAAAGTACTTTGCAAGACAACATGCTGACGGGAAAGAGAAGAGGAGACCTAGCATTCATGATATCACCACCGTCCACCTGCCACGAACCACCAGTTTCTCAGGCGACATGGACAAATCATCCCCATTAATGGTTAATACACCAAACAACGGAATCAATATCCGAGTATACAATTCTGGTCTCTTTTTCCAACCTACGAGGTACCAGGTTCAAGGTTAGCCAACCCGGGTTTAATTGTGCTTGTAGTTGAGATCAATACTATAGTACTCTTTATGATCTGTGTACAATGTATTAATTGTACTTATGATAGTATAGAAGCTTGACTTTCTGGTTAGTTTAAAGATATACGTGGTTTAAATATCGAATTAATGAGCACAGACGACAAACTTTCCATCTCATCAGCTATCCATTCTTTGGAAAAAAGAACTTGTTTTGGAGTATGACAAAGGTTCTCACTTCATGAAATAGCCTTTTCAATTCTCTGCAAGTTGCATAATTAATAGAGCACTTTGCTCCACCATTCCATTCTATCCTTGATCAAAGCTTATATGTGGGGATGACCCACATATGTTAAAGCCTCGAATCATATATTATGTTTATCGCATGTTTTGTATGAAATTTTGTTTTAATACCCTTTATACTCTTTTTGTGTTTGTGTTCTCTTGTCTTTAATTATTGTTTGTATGCATAGCGATCGACCTATCGAGGGAAATTAGAATGAATAAAAATTGCTTCAACTATACACTACTAAAAACTAGCAAAGAGAACACCTCATGTAGAATAGTACAGTACACTATTAAGTTAGAAATAGTGTAAGGCTTACAAATAAACAAAAAAAAAACCATAGTACTCTATTAAGTTAGAAATAGTGTAAGGTTTACAAAAAAAAACATAGTACTTTATTAGGCTTTTCTTAGCAAAATCAAGAATACGATTCTTAGGCCTTGTTTCCGAGTGCAACTTACACCCCGTTCCCGAGTTCAACTTAAGGAGAGAAAAGAAAGGAAATGAGTGGAAGTGAGAGGAAAGTAAAAGAAATTGGTGTTCCCGAGTTTCATTAAAGGACGGAAGTGGAAGGAAATGCAAGCATCACTTTCTCTCCTAACTTTCCTTCCGATTTGGAAAGATTTGGAGAGAAAGAACAAAATGTTTAACTTTCCTATCTCTTCTCTCCAACTCGGGAACACAAAAGACAAATTTATTTTCCTTCCTTTTCTCTTCTTTTCTCTCCTTACTTCTTTTCTTTTCTCTTCTTTTTTTTGCTATAACTCGGGAACTGGGTGTTAAGGAAGGAAGACAAGGGACGTGAAGAGAAAGGGAAAGAAAAGAAAAGTAATCTTGTTCTGGAGATTATTTTTTGGAAGAAATTGGAGAGAATAAAATGGATGATTTTCCCTCCTAAAGTCCTAATCTTCCACCTAAATTGTAAAGATTTGAAAGGAAGTAGGCTTACCCAGGGCTTCCATAACTAGACTGATTTGGGTAAGTTGGCCGAGTAAGCTACGCGCCCATTTGAGAAACTATTATTTTCCACATCTCTAACATTAATCCAACATGTAACTGAAGATGGAAATCAATGTCAATATATAAGGATGGTAGTTTTCACATCTTATATGTCTCCTCTAAATGTTGACCAAACAATATTATGGTATTGACATTCTTCAAACAAGTTTACATAATTTTAATTTTGTTATGCCTTTTTTATGGCGCAATGTGAATTATCTACTAAATGGTCATGATATCCTAAATAAAAATTCTGACTACTAAAAAATAAATTTAATGTAAATATTAAGGAAAGGGTTATAAATGAAACATCTCTTGTATCAATTATTTGAAATAGACTTTTAAAATAAAAATTTTGTGTTACTTCGTAAAACAAAATCATTTTCACAGAATAAGGAATGTGAAGAACTTCATAAATGCAGACATTTGAATTTTTACCAAATAATATAACTCTATGTATGGTTGAAGAAATAGAGCTAAAAAGAATTTCAGATTAAAGAGCTTTAAACGAATTTCAGATTAAAGCTTCGAATGATGACAAGAGCTTTAAACCAATTTCAGATTAAAGATTGACATTTGACAATGCAGGGAAAAAGGGGTTTTGTGCTTGAATTTTAGTGGGTAATTTGGGGGTTTCTTCTTTCTTGTAACAATTGAAACAGTTATGAAATTATTCTAAGGTTTTTCCAAATTAACAGCATCAAAATTAACGGCCTCAGCCACCAATCCTTTGAATTAATTTTATATCATTTTCTTGTTATAACGACTTTAGAAAAATATTTTAACATGTAATTCCTGAAAGATCTTTAGCCTACACACTATCATGCATCTCTAACAGTTCATATAATATGCACAACAAGCATTTCTCCTGAGAAGACATTCTAACATGCATATCATAATATAACACATATAATATATCAACACGCATGGGTATTCTAGGAATCACTTACTTGAAGACTTATTGCACACATCACAACCTTTTTCTTTCTTAAAAACTTTTTAGAAAACATTTTTATAAAAAATATTCTCTTATTCCTCAGTTTGAGTTCGGACACACCCAATGCTAGCCTAAATCCCTCAAACCAATGCTCTGATACCAACTTATAACATCCTTAAAACACAGAGGATTTTTTTTTTCATTTTTATTATACAAAACCATCCATTTAAATTCCGAATAATAGTATTAATATACAAGATCCATAGATAGTAATGAAAACATCAGAGTAATAATAAGCATGAAATCCCAAGATAAGTGTAGATGCGGTGCAATCATGTCAAGATCTTCCCCTTGCTACTAGAAGTACCTGAAACATTTCAAACTAACAATCGTAAGCACGAAGGTTAGTGAGTTTCCTAAAATACCACACATCATACAATAATGGGCCTCACCTAACAAGTATATAACATGCCTCGCCCAATAAACATATAAACTGGCCTCACCCAATAATATATAAACGGGCCTCGCCCAACAACATATAAACGGGCCTCGCCCAATAGTATATAAACGGGCCTTGCCTAACAACATATAAACAAGCCTCGCCCAACAATCATACAAACATACAAGAGTCACAAAGACAACAAGCATCCTATACAGTATAGTGAGAAGACCCGCATGATCAGACTCTAAGTAAATCATAACTGCTCACGAAAAAGCGCAAGGTCAGTCCCACAATCACCTAAATATCAAATAAGAGGTCAAACCTCACTCTGAAATTCAACTCCAAAGTCCAACTAGATTTGAAGGCCAAATGTGACAAAATATGAAACCAGGACAAGATAGAGGCGCCTCGCGCCTATAAAAGGGCACCCCGGACATGGCTAAAGATAAAATAATCGACTTTGTCTTAAATCAGAACAAATTTGAAAGTCTAGAAAGCGTGTCGCGCTACCTCACAGGCGCCTCGTGCCTCAGCTGAGTTCCATGTTCAAAATGACTTAATTCATTAAGTTACTATACCCAAGTCTCAGATTTGTTCCTAAAAGATGCCTTAATGGATAAAGTTCCCAACTTTATCCATTATCAAGCCCCCAATTAACAAGATCTAGCATTAAAGTCCTTAAAAGTCCAAGATTTCATTTTTATGCATGGATAAAGCAAAAAAGGACATGTAAGCACCAAAAGTCCCAACCAAAACTTACATCTGAAACATTTAAGAGTCCAAAGATCATGGAGTTGTCCAAAATCCATAGATCAAGGCATGAAGGGACTAAAACTTCATAAATGAGGACATAAACACTAAATACTCTTAGATCATAAGGTGAAAATCAATAAAGCAATGAACATTAAGACTTACAATGGTCCATAAACACAAGGAGGGTTGATTCTTCACTTACAACAACACCCAAGGCCAAGATTTGATGATTTCCTTCACTTTTTGCACCAAAACACACACAAAAGTTGATGAGAGGAAAGTGGATGGCTCATAAACACTCAAAAGAGCTAGAGTTTCTCCAAACGAACATTCTAGGGTTTGAGAGGCTGAGAAATGACCAAAACGGGTAAAGGTTGTTTAAATAACCCACAAAACCCTAAAACCCGTCAGGGACTAGGCCTAAAAGCGCTTCGCGCTCCCATACAGGTGAGTTGCGCCCTATGTCCCAACCCATGTTGAGCCCAATTGTGTTTTTCAGATTTCAACGAATTATTCAAACAACCATAACGTCTTCGTTCTAAACCCGTTTTTAGTAATCTTTATATGCACGGAAAGCTATTGATTAGACCCACAATTCTATCCAATTACTTTTGACTTAAATCATACTTAACTTTTGGTTCTGATACACAATTAAAGGGCTTAAATCATTTAACCAATATTATCAACATGTAATAAAGTCCAAAATATATCCCTTGAAGCCCGAGACCTTTACTTGATCATAGTCTATTATCCTGAAATAAGAAACATCCTGAAACTGGATGTTACAAACAGATATCAATAGATTAGCAACCGATGTTGATGACTAGTTACATATTAGTGATGGATTTGCTAGAGATTAACGATAGATTAGTGACGGATTATCAAAAAAAAAAACCCGGGCCCTTGCACAACATGGGCCCTATGTGATCGCACACCCGACACCCTTAAGCGCCAACCATACCTATGATTTAGAAAACTTACAACTTAACAATTTCAACCACCTTTTTTATGGGCAAATTCATCTTAACCATTTCAATCGCACCTTCTTTTATTTTTATTTTTATATGTTTTTTTAATATATCTTAACCATGATTTTAAATTTCAAGTTTTAGAGTCTACTAGTGATTTTTTTATTAAATAAATTCCAGTTTTCTTTTTTACTCTGTGAAAAATATTAGCGCTCGTGAATTTGGATATATTCACTAATTTCCAAGTTCTTTTATGTAATAAGGTGTCCTTTGTGTAAAAAAAAAAGTAGCCATGCAAATTCATGGACTTGTTAACGACTTATATGGTCATTTAGTGATTCGAGGAAAAAAATGGAAAAGTGGGTACATATAACTTCAAAATATGATATTTTAGTGAAAGACTCTTTTATTTTCATATTATGAATGATGAGGTGATGTCAAAGTTTATTATGTATAAGAGACTATACATAAAGTCTATATAAAACCTATAAAAAGAATTAGTGGGAATTGTTTAACTAAGACCTTAATTAACTAGTGTTATACGTGTTTATAGAGCGATGAAACGATGAGAAAATAAGTTTGTAGAGTTCATTAGAATATTTAGGACCAAAACCGTAGAATAGTAAACAAAACATTGAAAGTACAATGTTGTTAAGATCAAATATGAATAATCTATCTTCTACTTTTATTCTATTTTAGTTTAAAAACGTAAGTATGAGTCCAAATTTCTTCCCTTTTCTTGATTATCTTATCATGCAATGGAATGCAAGGTTAGTGACATATTGGATAGTCAATTATATCATTTGTCCAACTTTAATCATTAAATTTTGATAAAATTACATAAATGGTCATTTTAGTTTATTAGAGATCACAATTTCAATCCCTGTTAATTTTTTTGATAAACATGGTGATTTTTAAAACTTACATTAATGGTCCTTAAGCCACATAAAATGACTAATATATCATTTTTGTTTTTGTTTTTGTTTTTTTTTATATATTTTTTAACTAACTTTTTATTAAAAGGAAGTTAA